CTGCCTCCCCGGGCCACCCCCCAGCCACGACACGCACATCATCCCCCAGGGACTGCTGGAGAACGCCATCAAAATCACCAGCGAGCCGCCGACGGGCATGTACGCCAACGTGCACAAGGCGCTCGACCTCTTCACCCAGGTACCCTCACCCCTGCGCTGCTCCCTGCGCTGCCGGCTCCTTTCAAGCGCTTGGGTCAGCGTGTCCGGCTCACATTAACAACTTCCAGTTCTCCTTCACAGTCACCTGATAATTTTCTGCAGCAGAGGGCTGGCTGGCAGCGATACTCGCTTGATACTCGCTTCATTGCCCTGCAGGACACGTTAGAGATGTGCAGCAAAGAAGTGGAGTTCAAATCCATCCTGTTCGCGCTCTGCTACTTCCACGCGGTGGTGGCCGAGCGGCGCAAGTTCGGAGCTCAGGGCTGGAACAGGTCGTACCCCTTCAACAACGGCGACCTGACCATATCCATCAGCGTCCTGTACAACTACCTGGAGGCCAACCCCAAGGTAAGGGACTCGCACAGCGACCTCAGCACCACAAACACTATGAGTGAGAATCAACCTTTTTAAAAAAAAGGATCAGTATGGAGGAAAGGCAGTGCTGCCAGCCCTGCTCCCCTCCTCAGGAGTCGCCCGCAGGCGCTGGGCCCCAGGCTGGGATGAGCACCTGCTGCCCTGGGTGGGTTTTTTAATGACTTCCCACATAAAAAGCAAAGCCTTGCCCCAAGAATGAAGAAGCCACAAGAGGGATTCTCACTCTCGGGAGAGTCCTGCCTTCCCCCGGTCTCACAGCCAGCACCAGTGCTGGTCTGGATAAGGATAGGCTGAAGGGGTTCAAGGTACAGGTGCCCGTGTCCACACCAGGAAAAGGTGAAACCTGGGGGTGAACACAGAAGCCACCTGGGACAAGATCAAGCCTTGCCCCAAGAATGAAGAAGCCACAAGAGGGATTCTCACTCTCGGGAGAGTCCTGCCTTCCCCCGGTCTCACAGCCAGCACCAGTGCTGGTCTGGATAAGGATAGGCTGAAGGGGTTCAAGGTACAGGTGCCCGTGTCCACACCAGGAAAAGGTGAAACCTGGGGGTGAACACAGAAGCCACCTGGGACAAGATCTCCTGTCACTGGGCTCTGCGAGCCCAGGGCCTGTCACATCCCCATACTCTGGCCAGGCCAACGCAGGAGCCGCTGCCCCGTGGCCACCCAGCTCCACAGAAACCTCTGGGGAGCCCTGGCAAAGCCCCACAGGAGCCTCTCGTTGTAGGTACCGTGGGACGATCTCCGGTACCTCTTTGGGGAAATCATGTATGGGGGGCACATCACAGACGACTGGGACCGCCGGCTGTGCCGCACGTACCTGAGCGAGTACATCTGCGCGGAGATGCTGGAAGGGGAAGTGTCCTTGGCTCCAGGGTTTGCGGTCCCTCCCAACTTGGATTACAAGGTAAGGACGATTAACTTTGCAATCGGCTCTGGATAAATGTGCGCTAGTCAGAGGTCCCTCATGCTAACCAAGGGGGACTGTAGGAGGGAAAAATTGAAGTTTGAATCCTGTGGAACCATGCAGAACCACTGCAAAAATAATTCCTGTGGGTGGAGTGGTAAGAGAAAAACTTGGGTGAGGTGTGAATAAAAAAAACCACCTTGAATACACAACGCCAGCGAGCTAGGAAGCAGCACCACCAAAAAGTGATGATGTATTTTCAAGTGAAGTGTATTTCAAGTGAAACTTGGGCTCCTCTGTACGTCTCTGCTAAACTGACGGCAGTGCCTGCCCTGCGCACAGGGGTACCACGAGTACATCGACAACAACCTGCCCCCCGAGAGCCCCTACCTGTACGGCCTGCACCCCAACGCCGAGATCGGCTTCCTCACCGTCACCTCGGACAGCCTTTTCCGAACAGTGCTGGAAATGCAGCCCAAGGAATCAGACGCCGGAGGAGGCTCGGGTGTCTCCCGAGAAGAAAAGGCAAGTACAGTTTTACAGCACACCGTGACCACTCAGCGGCCGGGAAGGGACGAGGACAGACACGGGCCCCCACACACCAGACATGAGACTGTGACCTCTAACAACAACTGATTTTATCAGTGTGAGAGAGCAGGGATGTGATTCTAAGCCCCAAACCGATGCTACAAGGTGCCAGCCCAGAGAAGGGCGCGCTGTGGCGCAGAGCACAAGAGGAACGCTGCAGCCTCTGCTCAGCTGCACACTCAGGTTTTTATTTAAGTCTGTTTGCACTTGGATTCTCTGTGACCAGGCTCCCCTTTCCATTTCAGTAGCTTCACCAGATTTGGCAGCGGTAATGCAATTGAACGCGAGCAAACGCTTCACTGCTCCGCAGCTGCCACCGCAGCCCAGGGCAGAGCGCG